TAAAATTACTTATTATTATAACTTTTATTAACCTATTATACTCCGTTAACCTCTAGAGCTTGCTGTTGTACAGCGTGCAACGAGCGGAAAAAGGAGACAAGGACGGAGTAGATAGTTCTTAATTTATCAAGGAAATCCCGAAGCTATCGGCGATCATATTTTGCCATCTGGATTTTCAGTCGCGGCACAAGTGTCTGTGGCGTGCAAAGAGCCGAGTTCAATACGAGCCGGTTCTGTTCGTCTGTATTAGGAATCCCGACTCACGGCCTTTATAGCCGCTGGTAAGTGCAAATTATCTGGTCCATGTTCCTTCCATGCGGGTAGCGGTTGCTTGCAGCCCGTCCCTCCGCCACGCAATAATTAATCCCGATACACAATGATATTATGCCAGCCACTCGGGAGTTTTTAGAGTTTCAAGTTGCGCTATACAAAATATGGCGGCGTCAGGAGGCGGCCAGATAAGTCCGGAAAGCCCGAAGAGATTGAAATATGGTTGAAGCCGCCCGGTTTGATATTTACACAAAACACGGAGTACCGGCATGCGTTTGGAATATACGACGAACAGACACAGAGAGGAACGCCGACACATAGAGCGTCCTTGAAACAGGTTCTAACGTCCGCCAAGAGAATATAATATTACAAAAGAGTGCGTGACGCGGACCAAGTTGAGCTGGTCTTGGCGGGCTCTTTGTCGTCTGATAGGGTCACACTGCCAGGACATTCTGCCTTTCTGGTAGTGCAGCTAGCAAGCCCTTTGACAATGGGGACGCTCTACTACGGGTTCCAATACCAAGTACATGTTTAACAACCAAGCTGGCCTTGATAGGAATTTTTTGACGATCTTGGCGCGTGTAACCCTAACCCTGGGCGGAATAGTAGATACTCGCACGCCGGCATGTGGGATTCCTTGAGGTATTGCTATCAGATCAGACGAGTACGGCCAGTTCGCCTATCAGCGACTAAGTATTCTACTTTAAGTTGCTCGCGCCCCGATTACCTGCAACTATTGTACGTAATATACCTACGTATGTAATAGTTGAATTATTAATTGACACATCCCACAGGCCCCTTCGACACGTATCCCGCGAGTTGTCCGATACGCTTGCCGCCGTTGTCCATGGCAAGCAGTTACATTCAACTGGTATTTATTTAATTATTTTATTACTTAGTATTATATTTACTATAATTAGTTCTAGTAATTCTAAAAAAAATATACTTAAAAAAATAAACTTATATTTTTTTAAAAAT